TCGTAACATAAATAGTGCACAATTCATACGAAATCGTAGTAGTATAGTACTTACTGATGAGCAAACCCAGCTTTTCTCGCTAATGACCGAACTCAAATAATGTCGTTGCACGTTTTCAGAAAAAAAGTCCACAATCATCAAACTGCAAAAATCAAGATAACAGAAATGTCAATTGTATTTTTGCAACGTACAGGTCGACCTGTACACAGTCACGGTCGACCTTATTGGACAAACGGTCGACCTTATTGGACAACCGGTCGACCACACGTACTAAAAAAAACGTCTTACTTGTCCCAATTCTTGTCCCCAACCTTCTCTTTAGTAACAACATAATACAAGTCTTCAACTGGATTTTGAAGATTTTTGGTGAATCCTTCAAGACCCTCCACTTTCATGACCTACAAATCATAGTTAAAATTAAAGTAACATATGAACACAAACACACATTATAGATGAATATGTAACGTAAACTTACCCCGTGCTTTTCGAAAAGACTCTTAGATTCATCTTCATCGCTATCATCACTAAATAATCCCTTTCTTACAAATTGATCCTTCTGTGGAGTGGTGTAGGAGTCACTTTCATATCGAGGTCTCTTGTAATTAGGAGAGGAACCCTTGCGGCCATTCTTTGTTTCACTCTGTCAAACATATAAACAAAACAGATTAGCACTAATGATAGTAATACTAATATCTTCAATCACATATGAATATACTTTGATACCTTTAAAATGTGCTCTTTCAATAAATCGTCTATGCTCTGGTAGCAATTTTCAGAGTCATCATGGTCTTCCTCCTCTTTACCAAAGTCAAATTTCTTTCCTTTACCATTTCTTCCGCCATTCTCCATTCGTTCTGCACTTATATCTTTGATAGCACCTTCTAGCCTCTCAAACCCGTCATGCATCATCCCAGTCAAATCTGTCAGTCGAACTGACAATTGCTCGACTTGTGTTTGACACACCACCAGCTTCTCTTGTGTGGCTTTCAACAATTTCATGATTTCAGCCAAATCTTGATGCAGTTTCTCATCATGCGTCATCGTCTAAACAATTTAAAGAAAAATTATAATCATAATTCAAGTACAAATTTCTACAATTGACCAAAAAACAAAGACGTGGTCGACCTGACAAAGTATTAGGTCGACCTGGAAGACAAATAGTGACTACCACAACTCGTCAGGTCGACCTCTGTTATTCCTAGGTCGACCTATCCAGCAGGAAAATAACAATTAACAACAAAAAGTAAGTTCGAAATTAAACCGAAAATAGGATAGGTCGACCAGATATCTGGCGCGGTCGACCTTTCAAGCACAACAGAGTCATACAAACAAAGCCAAAGTCGACATTCAGATTGAATAACCAAAAAAACATAAACGGTCGACCTTGAAACCCATTAGGTCGACCAATTGGGTTACCTCGCAAGTACAGAAGTCCAAGTGTTGTGGCCTAAATTCAAATACGAAGAATTGTCTCGTCAGGTCGACCTGGTTGACGTCACGGTTGACCGAATTGAATTCTGCACCCAACAATATATCAAGTTAGCCGGTGGAAATCACGGATTAAAAAAGAAGACGGCGAATGCTACATTAGGTCGACCTCACCTTAGACCCGGTCGACCACTTCCAACACGAACAACAGGAACCGCGAACGATCTTCTTCACAAAGGCTCTAAGTCGGAAAAAATCCTAATTCAGACTTGGTGGCGTTGAAGGGGACTCATATTCGTATTTATAGAGATTTAGGACGTGAATGGGTCGACCCAATTCGTTTCCTTGTCCAATTGTGGAACCTTTCTGGTGTTGGAATCCATATCCAATACGGATACGGTCTGAAGGCGGTCGACCTCCTCATAATGCGGTCGACCTGTTAGGTGCACAAGGGTCGGCCTATGAGATATTTGGGTCGACCTGTTATTCTGTTAGACCACCAAAACGGTCGACCGCATTTTGTAAGAGGTCGACTGCCTTCAGGAACCCAACATACATGAATTAGTCCATTCGGTCGACCGCAAGTTGGATTCGGTCGACCGTAAAGTCCATGTCACGGTGACATGCATGTCACCATAGCAAAATCCAAAAAGTTAATAGCATTTTCTAGCTTTTTACTATGATAAGTTAACAAACGTGTCCCTTTATTAAATTTTTGTATAACCATATATTTCTACTATTAAAACGTAACAAATATAATATTGTGGCTAATTTTCCATTAAATAGGCATTAAGTGGGCTGGAAAATGACTTAATTGTCTCTCATTTGATAATTTTTGTTAATTTTTGTCCCATATTAATTAAAATTAAAACAAAAATGTCCTTCTCCCCGCAACCTATATTTCCCAGTTCCCACCATACACAATCAAAGAAAAGAAACATCACCAAACAACACCAAATTAAAATTAAAACTTCTACTAAAAAAATTAAAATTAAAACAAAAGTGTCTCACAGTCTCAGGACGACCTCCCTAGCGGCGCCGCTTCGTCTTTTATAGATTTTTTAATTTATCTGCTATTTTATAGTGTGATTTGTTGTATTTTTAGTAGTCTTTTATGATATGGTTCATGATACTAATTTTTAATAAGGACAAGCATGTTCCTCCCTTTATAAGTCCGCATAGTTTTAGTTAACCCTTTTGAAATAGAAAGTCATCAAAATTAAATTAAATATTCCTACCGATCAAAAACTAGTGTTATCATCATGCTAACAAATAGGGTGTTAGCATCCTAACCTCTAGTCCTCTACCAATATTGATGAGCAGGGGTGTCCAACAGGTTGGTCTGTACCGAATCACATCAGCCCAATCGGATGTTTGGACTGAACCATAATGAACTAGATATAATGTGGTCCGGTCTTTGGTCTCATTAAATTTATAAATATTTAAGAAAAATTATTCGAATCATTTGGAGGGACCAAACTATATCAAATTAGGCCATATATATTGTTAATTCGATTGTTGATTCTAAGATGATCACTTCTACTATACTTTAAAGTACAACTTGAAGTTATATCATAACGTTAAATGTGCAAATTGAACGTTTGGACTGTACCGAATTGGGCTGATGTGATTCGGTACAGACCAACCTGTTGCACACCCCTGCTCATCATAATTGGTAGAGGACTGGACCATAATGAACTAGATATAATGTGGTCCGGTCTTTGGTCTCATTAAATTTATAAATATTTAAGAAAAATTATTCGAATCATTTGGAGGGACCAAACTATATCAAATTAGGCCATATATATTGTTAATTCGATTGTTGATTCTAAGATGATCACTTCTACTATACTTTAAAGTACAACTTGAAGTTATATCATAACGTTAAATGTGCAAATTGAAGTTGTATCATAAGGGATTTGAACCTATATGTTGTGGTACAACTTCAACTTGTATCATATAAAGGTACAACTTTAGTTTGTACTTTGTACCATAATGAAATTTGTACAAATGAGTGTAGGTACAATATCAGGTTGTATCATAAAGTTAAAGATACAACTTCAAATTGTACTATAAATAGTCCCTTCAATTGTGGTCGAGCACTACCCTTCAACTAGGGGTGGGCGTTCGGTCGGTTCGGTTTGAACCGAACCGAACAGGCATACACCGAGGTTCCGAACTCAGATATTCCCCAACCGATTTCGAACCGAAATATAATTCGGTTCGGTTCGCCCGAACCGAATTATATCTCGGTTCGGTCCGGTTTCAAGGCCCAAAACCGAAAATATAAAACAACACTCTTTATTTCTATTCCCCACTAAAAGTCGGCCCCAATTAATCCTTCCCCTCTCCCTCATCTCTCATCTATCTAATCTGCTCCTCAATCAATCTCTCTCTTCTCTCTCCTCTCTCCTCTATCTCCCCCAGCCCCAGATCTATCCTTCCCTCAACCAATCTCTCTCTCGTCCCTCCTCTATCTGCCCAAATCTATCCTTCACTCGATCTCTTTCTCTCTCATCTCCCCTACGACCCCGAGACCCGAACTCGACGACAACGATTATTGACCGAGAGAACAAGATGGCGGCAGCGCCAACGACGATGGCGATTGACGAAGTGAACAACGCGACGGCGGCGCCAACGACGATGGCGATTGACGAAGTGAACAACGCGGCGGCAACGAAGATCCTTGCACCTCCCCAATCAACATTCTCTTCATCTCGACTGATGCATGTGGGTTTTTATGTTTGATTTTCTTGGTTTAAGTGGCAGGCACTAGTTGAGGAGAAGAGAACTGAGAGAGGGGAGATTGGTCGGCGAGGAGGGTGAGTGGGTGAGGGATGGTTGCTGTGGACGAGGTTGTATATTTGTTGTGGGTGAGTGGGCTTAGGGCTAGGGCTGTGAGAGATTGGGTTGGGCAGAGTGGTGGGGTGTTAGTGTGTGGGCTATGAGAGATTGGGCTGGGGTGGGGACTGACCGACTGGGCTTTTCGGTTTTTCGGTTCGGATTTCGGAATTCGGGTTCGGTGACGACACTCCTGGGTTCCGAAATACCCATTATTCTTGTCCGAATTCCGAACCGAATACCAATACTTCGGTTTCGGTTCGGTTGAATTCGGTTTCGGGTCGGTTCGGTTCGGGTTTACCGAACCGCATGCCCACCCCTACCTTCAACCCAATCAACCTATCCCCAGGTGGATCCGTTTTATCCCGAAACCGTACCAAGAACGTTTTGTTTTTTGGTTCAAGTTCAATTCATTCAATTGAATTGAAGGAGCTGCAAATTCTGATAAAAACAACCCCTAGGGTTGTATTACCTGCAACCTATCCTCAAGCTCAGGGGATAACGACAGCTCATAATTGCAATGATTTCACTTCGAAGTACAGTGATCAAAAACCGGTTCGCTCTTGTTGTACACTTCCCCACTTGTTTGTTCGCGTTTAAAAAGTTGACTGAATTTCGGATAAGGGAAACAAACTTTTACTTTCATACAAAAGTCAAATAAAATCCCAAGACATTAATTTGTATTAATTGCACAGGATCTGGTGGAGTTGTTTCATCTTGGTCAGGTTCAATGGAAGAGAAACATTATAAAATCAGACATATTTCGAGTTCCATATATATATATATATATATATATATATATATATATATATACCTTTTTGTTTCCAGAACAACAATCTCTACGATGAGGACGAACGCGATATCAAAGTTGTTTCTGGTGGTCGTATTGGGGCAACTACTGGTTTCTCCACTGCCTCCATGCCATGGTCGCGGGGATCCTTTCTTGAAGTGTTGGCAACGTTGCATGAAGCATTGTAATGCTGGAGCAGATATATGTGTGGGTATGTGCGGTGATCAATGCCAATCCTCTTCAGCTTTCAAAGATCAGTTTGGGAGAAGAACATCCCGACCCATATAAGAAAAATTGAGCCAAACTATACTTATGTGAAAGGCCAAACACGGCATCCAATAATGATCATCCTGTGATGTAATATGATGTAATAAAAGGTCTGAAAGTTTCTACAGGTATTGCCCTAAGTTTTATGCGTACTATTTATTTTTGAAAAATTCTTAGCCTCAACTTTGGTTGGACTCAGAAGCTCCAACCATCGAACAAAATTAAACCGTAAAATAAAAATTCTAAAATGTTAGGGATGAACATTTAGATACTAAAATTTTAGGGGTTTCACGGAAACTTTCTAAGTGTCCTCTACTTGGAGGAGAACCCAAAGTCACCTAACAACAAAAATAGCCGCCGATCGGATTCAGATATAGCAATACGATTTCGTTGAGTATTAATCTGGTGTTTGATAAAACTATATGCCCAATCAGTAATCATGTTTAGCAAGCTAACTTAACTTATTTACACAACTCAACTAAATAAAAATAGTTAACTCCTAATCCTATCTAACCGGGCTTGAGTTCAAGTCCTTAAGTCTCATTCGTTAAGGAGAATCTTAAAGCCTTTCTATTGGTTAATAGTGGATTAGGTAGTTAAAGAGGGTTAGTAGTTAATAGGTAGTTAAGAGTAAATGGGGTTATACGAATATAAATAATATTATTAATTAATGATTCTCTTTCTCTCTCATCCCATGATTTTCTTCATAACCCTCTCTCTACATTATAATAAAAAAATATATAATTAATTTTATTTAATATTTAATGAAATCCGAATTTAATAGTTTTCCTTTTCTAAAATGGAAATTTAAAATTTGAAATATATGGCCTCTCTCACATTTTGGCAACTTGCAATTTAGTATTAACATTTTGTAATGACATTATCAATATTTACAAATTGAATCATCATTAGGGCTTTTCGTTGCATGGGTTTAGGATTTTTCGTTTTTAGGTATTCGTTTGTGTTATTATTAATGTTGTTCGACATGTTTTTTTAATAATATTATATGACATTATTAACTTTTTCTGTTATGTTTTGTTTTGTTTGTAACATTAGCAAAAGTGATTGTGTTTTCAATTTGTTAGTACTTGAAGTTCATTTACTATTACATCGTATTATCAATTTGGTTCGCAATGATTTATAATCATTTGAAGTGCTATTATCAATGTTTTTTGCAAGCACAATACAATCATTAGCAACAATTTATTTCATTGATTTGTATTATTAACATTTTTCCTTTTATGTTTGTAACTTTGTCAAATGTCATTATCAAGAAGCATACTTGTTAGGTATTCGTTTGTTTATGACATTGGCAAAAGTGATCTGTGTTTAATGATATAACTATGGTTATTAACCTTTCAGGCTAAGTTAGTAACGTAGTTGGTGTCATTATTAATGGGTGTGTATAAGCATTATCAATGTTTGAAAAAATAAGATATTAATAATATCTAGTAAGGCACTTAAACATTATTAGTTGCTATTATTATCAAAGTTTTTGGTTGCATTATCCATTAAACACATGTTAGTTATTAATGTGTTTTTAGTGATATTTGACATTAAACAATTAATTTGAATATTATTAATATTTTTTTATTACAAAAATCTATTTCCTTACCAGTGACTTGCTCATTTGTTATTAACAATTTTTAATATCTTTATTAAAAGCTTGGTGTCATTTTATAATGTTGAAGTCAAACATTAATATATTGAAGTTTTGTGTTTATTTTAAACGAAATACTTTTCATTATCAATGATTTATTGTATTGTTATTAAAAGTTTGGTGTTGAGGCGTGAATGTTGGTTTGCTTGAGCTAATATTTTTCTTGACAATGTTTGTTTGACTGAATCACACAGGTGCACTATGTCACAAGTACCCAAGATGTTGAAAATCAATATTGTGCTTTATGATCATTGAAAATGATAATGTAAAACAATATTAATTGATCATAAAATGTTAATAATGTCATTAGAAATCATTGAAAGAGACTATGACTAGATAGTTATAAACATGATGTGAAAATGTGAATCATTAGTACTAAATATGTTGTAAATCAATGATATATTGTTATTCAAACTGTTAATGAACACGTTACATAACTTTAATGATTCATTCATAGGCGTTGATGACGAAACCATAAAACTTAACAATTGATCCAATATATTTTTTTTTTATAATGGTGAAAGTTTATTAGAAAAGAGGAAACTGTACAGAGGAGATCAAAAGAGATGATCTCCAGCAAGAACATACAGGAGACTACGAAGGACGACTAGAAACCCAAACAAAGGAAACTGAAAAGGAATCCAGGACCACTCCGACAAGAACTGAGGAAGGCTGATGAACAAAACCTTTTCGACACAGCACTGTAAACTCGACTCACAACACATCAAACTCAAACATGCACAGCAACGAAAACCAATCGGAACGAAAGCACCCCCGAGACAGCCCACAAAGCAGAAGGCGAGTCAAACTAAGGGAGCGGGGAAAGCCCCGAACAAAGAAGCAGGAGAAAGATAGCAGTTCCCAACAAAACGATAGAAGAATTCCACCACCGGGACAAGGGTTCAGATTCTCCGAAGCCGTTCAGTCAGCCATTTAGAGCAGATGTTCCTCTCTACCTTGTTATGGGCAAAGATCCAATCAATAGCCGCCTTGCAAGCTTTCCTAGTGATGGTAGTGGCTGAGGTTCTAGAGTCGTTGAAAACCCGCTGATTACGCTCCAGACAAACGTGCCAGCAGACTGAATGGAGGATGGCGTACGCGAACCAGGAGTTCAAGTTGCCGGGGATCGACGAAGGCTAGACCTGCAGAGCAGTGGAAAGATCACCCGAGGGCGAGTCCACCAGCGGGCAGACCCTCATAATCCCAACCCAAACCTCACCCACAAAGGAACACTCCATAAAAAGATGATTAGCAGACTCTTCTTGGTTCAAGCATAATTCACATCTATTCGCGAGAGTGACACCACGAGCCTTCATCTTATCAAGCGTTCGCAGCTTCTTGTGAGATAGAGTCCAGAGGAAGAAACATATCTTAGTCGGGATGATATTCTTCCAAATAGATGCTACCGGAAACTGAGGAACACCGGGAAACTGAGCATCCGCAAGGGCCCTGTACATGGAAGACACAGAGAAACCAGAATCTGGATTCGGAAGCCAAACCAGTCTACTAGGCCCATTAGAGATCCGATTAGAAGCATTAAGATTAAGAAAATTGACAAGATCAGAATACTCTCTCGCAGCACCCCCCCCCCCCCTCAAAGAATGATGCAAAGAAAGATCCCACCCCACATTCTCACCTGAGCGAATGAACGTGTCCGAGATCCGAGCAGCGGGGTGTGAGGCGGCAGCAGCAACCCGAGGGAAACTAGATGCAAGAGTGGTACCGGGAATCCAACAGTCGTGCCAGAAGGAGGTGTCAAGTCCGCTACCCGGGTCCAAGCAAGCAAGGTTCCAAAATTTGTCGGATTCTCTATCAATGTTTACCCAAACAGACATGGATGGGCAGCCACGGTTACGACCAGATTTCCAAGAAGATACGGGGTTGGGATATTTGATAGCAATAAGATGCCGCCACCAGCTGTCCCGTTCCACAGCAAACCTCCAGGACCATTTGGAAAGTAAGGCACTATTAAAGCTAGCAAGATCAATGATGCCAAGACCACCATTGTTTTTCGAAGCCTTGCAGACATCCCATTTAACTAGTGGACTCTTAAGAGTATCCCCATACCCATTCCACAAAAACTGTCTCTGAATATGTTCAAGTCTCTTCGTAGTACTCTTAGGGGCCTTAAGAAGGGAGAAAAGATGGACTGGATTACTAGACAAAATCGATCTGATCAGAATCATTCTAGCTCCATAGGATAAGTATCTCCCTTTCCACCCTTGGAGTTTTTTCCGATAGTTGGCCTCGACAGGATCCCAGATGTTCACTCCATTCGGCTTAGCTCCAAGAGGAAACCAAAAAAAAATAGATGGATCTCGGCTCCATCTACAGCCAAAAATAGAGGCAAAGAAGCTTGGTTCCGGGACATCACCGACGGTATACATAACCGATTTATCCAGATTAATTTTCAATCCTGTAATGGCTTGGAAACACACAAGAGCAGCCAAAATATTCAGGACCTGGTCCGGAGAAGCATCGCAGAAGATGAGGGAATCGTCTGCAAAAAGAATATGAGTGACCTCCCCGAGACCTTTATCTTCATCCATACAGAAGCCTTTAACCCTTCCATCACCCTGAAGACGAATCATCAAATACGAAAGAATATCCATGATAAGGACGAAAAGCCCAGGGGATTAATTGTAAAGAATTGATAAGTATATTGAAATCGTTAATAGTGATGAGGTATAATAATAACGATTCATTTCATAAATGCTGATAATGTCATTGCAAAATGTTAATAATGCATTGCAAGTTGCCACGAAGTGAGAGAGCATATATTTTTAATTTTCAATTTTAATTTTAAAAAGTAAAAAAAAATATTAAGTTCGAATTTATTAAATATTAAATAAATTAATTTCGAATTTTCTTTTCATTGTAGTGGAGAGAGGGTTATGGAGAAGATCAAGGGATAGAGAGAAAGAGAATCATTAATGAGTAATATTAAATATATTTTTATAATATCGTATTTATTCAAACTAAATATTAACTACCAACCATCATTAACTACCTATTAGTATCAGTCAATAAAAATAGTTTAAGAACCTTCTTAAACAATGAGGCTTAAGGACCGGATCCAACCCGATCTAACCGTCTCTATTAAACCAATTACTTAACTAACCTATTTGATGATATCGTTTCCCTCAACAACATGATTGATTATATGAGCACTTCTACTATGCTATATAGCATAGGTGCTTTAATGTACAACTTAAAGTTGTACCATAACATTAAATGTATAAGTTTAGGTTGTACCATAAAGCAATTTGTACCATTATGTTATGGTACAACTTTACAACTTTAAGTTGTACCATCACATAAAAGTACAAGTTCAATGTATAAGTTGTACCATAACATTAAATGTATAAGTTTAGGTTGTACCATCACATAAATGTATAAGTTTATGGTACAAGTTCAAGTTGTACCATAAAATAATTTGTAAAAAAGTAAATGTACAATTTTAAGTTGTACCATAACGTAAATGTACAATTTTAAGTTGTACCATAAAAGCAAAAACCTATAGTACCCATACTATATAGCATTGTAAAATTTCTCTGGATTATATAGGAGAGTAGTATAGAGTATTTAAAAACCCAATTGGTAGGCCTTGAGTTAAACGTGGCCGGCCGTATTTGAGCCCGGATGGGCTTAACTATGTGCCCTCGCAACAAAGTTTTTTCTCTTCACGTCACACAGGCCCATGGGTTAGTTTGGATGTACCAATTCAGAAAATGAGTCAAAATTTTTTTTTTTTTTTTTTTTTACTATAGCTGACCAATTAAATAGACGGGTGGTCTATCAAGCCACACTACACGTTCATTCCACTTTGTTTCTGCACTGGCCATAATATGTGCCGCCATATTGGCCTCACAACGAATATGGCGACAAGTTCCATTCCCCGATGCTGTGATATAGTAGCGCTTAATACTTCGACAGACTATGCCGACTTCCGTGTTCACCTCATCCGACTTTTCCAACTTCATGATCAGGCTTAGGCAATTTGACTCCATCGGCAAATGAGAGAACTATAGTTGGTGGGCAAGTTGTACACCGAACTCCACAGCGAGGGCTTCAGCCATTTCCACCTTCCTGTGTACAGTGTACAGTTTCAAATCCTGCCTCCGCCACTGTGTGTACAGGTACCCGTGTAGTGCTGTTGCGCACTTGAGCAAGCCTCGCGAATCCCTGATTACTACTCCTCCGGCTTCCAACATACAAGCATCATTGCCTAGCAAAATCATACCTTTGACCGGGTTTCTTCCACACAGTTGGGGAGGATCAACCACTCCCCTCTTCTTTTTTACTTTGTTGTGTCTGATGGTCATCCAGAAAATATTCTGACCGAAATTTCATCAAGCTTTTCTCCGTTGAAAAGGAGGGCGTTTCTTTCCTTCCAAAGAAACCATAAGAGGACACACCATTTCTCAAAAGAGAGCTTGTCAGTTACCTTAAGCATCACCGAGACCCACTCAAAGCAATTCCCCGCACCTCTCTAGCGGGAAAGATCAGATAGATCAGACTGGTTTCTTTTGAATCACATTTTTCAACTTGAGCAAATTAGAATTGTGTCAAAACGATTCAATTTAAAATTCTCTATGTGAACTTGTCGCATTTATATTTTCTAGTTGGCAAATGAGTCAATTTGGCCCAATTACCTCATACGGAAACAATTAGGTCAAATTGACTCGTTATAACTAGGGATGACAACAGACCGGATCAGGGATGGATAGTGCATATCCATTACTCTACTTAAAGTAGCTCGGATTTTACCCATTCGCATATAAAAATTGGATAAAAAATCAAAATAATGCTCATACTATACCGTTTGGGTTTTAGATATCCAGAGTTACCCAGCAATGTCTATAAAAGGCTAATGCTTGTATAGGATTGTGTGTGCAAGAGAAAAATACCAAAAACCACATAAATAAAAACAAGTACCCTTGCCTGCCTTCTCACTCTCTCTGCCGTATAACTCACAAATATCAATTTCCTTCTTTACAAAACAAACATCCAAACAAATCTCTTACAAAACAATGCAAAACAATAACCAAATACACAAATAAAAACAAAAAAGCTTCCTTCCCATCCTTTAATTGCTCTGCCGCATCTCCTTCCAAATTAACAAAATTCCCCATTTCCCAAAACAATCATCCAAACACCTTATTCCATTACAAAACAAAATATTCCATTCACTCAACCTGAAATCCAACGTGTGTATCAGAGCCCTAATTGCACTTACATGCCAAAAGTTACTCCGTTAAAATTACCTTCCTCCTAAAAATAAACTTATTTACCTTCAAAAGGCCTATCCATCCAAAACATAAAAAACTGTCCTCCACAGTATCTCATTACCTCTATAATCTACATTTTTACTGACGTGTACGGCAAACTATTGCCACGGAAGTATGGAAGTCCAAATTGACAAATAACAAAACCACGATATAGCATGCTCTCTCCTCCAACGTCTCCTTCCATTTTCACTTTCCTAAGTCTTCTTCCTTCGTAAACACATCTATGATCTAAGCTGTCCACTGTCTTTTTCTGCTTGTACCCTTGTATTTAAACCCAAGTGATGAACGAGAATACACCAAGTAATCTTAAGGTTTCAAAAAGGGTACGTTAAACCAAGTTTTTAGGTTAAGAAATAGTTTCACACATCAACAATTCAACATGAAGGCCTTGTTCTTCGTCTCCTTCGTGGCTTCCCTTGCATTTTTCCTCGTCGGATACGGTAAGAAGCTGCTGTAACTTCTCTTTTTTTTTTTTTTTTTTTAACAGTTGAGTAGAAGCTGTAACTAACCAGTTCCTCTGGCCGCTCCGTAATTTCTCGATTCTTTCTTTCTTTCTTTCAGATACCGTCCTGGTTGTGTATATGGGATGGAAGCTGTTCGGTCCCAATTTGGACGTCGCTGGTTACCTCCTGAGTTTAGTTCCCGTCGTCGGAGAAATTTTCGCGGTCATCAGCGCGCTGGCGGGTGGCGTGTGCGCCGATACGTTCGGCCGGAAGTTTCCACTCATCGTCGCCGGCGTGAGCTTCTTTTTTGGCAACCTTCTAAAATGTTCAGCCACGTCATCTTTTGCCGTCCTAATCATGGGCCAGGCCGCGACCGGGGTTGGCATGGGCCTCAGTTTCAGCCTGTGCCCCGTCTACATTGCTGAGCTGGTCCCCGCGCCGGTCCGTGGGCTTTTGACCTCAGCCACCGAGGTAATTATATCCAAATAGCTTTCTAGCGTCATTTTCATACCATCGCTTAAAGATGTCAAAATGTTTTCCACCAAAAAAAAAAAAATGTCAAAATGCTGGTGTAGTTTTGCGCCGACAAGTAAGAAAAATTATTGGTTAATTGCATTGAAATGTTGTTTTCTATTTTATCAATTAAATTACTGTAACATCAACCTTACATGATCCGACGTTTATTACGATAGAATCTTGTATATTTACAGAAAAAGAAGTATTGGTACATATATCTTCCGACATTTTATTTCGGACTTATGAAAATGTGACTGTGTTGTATAATTTACCCATTTACGCAGGTCTCATTCAACATGGGGATACTGGTGGGCTACACCACGTACCAGATGTTCGAGGCCTTTCCCCCAGCAGTAGCACAAAAATTGCTTTTTGGGGTTGCACTGTTCCCTTCCCTGTTGTTCACCCTCGGCATGGCAGCCATGGCGGAGTCTCCGGTCTGGTTGATCGTCAGGCGTGGTCGGATCGACGAGGCCAAGACCATCCTACAGGGCAGCAGTCGGCGGAGCCCCGCAGAAGTCAACCACATAGTCAGCCACGTCCATCATGAACAGGCACCGGTGAAGATCGCGTGGAACAAGTTCCTCCGCCCACCTCTGCGCCGCGTGTTCATCTCCCTGGCAGGACTGCACGTTCTCCGCCAGCTGTCGGGCATCGAAACGATGACGGTGGAAAGCTTGCTGCTCGTCGTCCACCAGGAGAAGAAGCTTGTTGAGGTAGCAGGGGTGATCATACAGCTGGTACTAAGAGTGGCATTCGCAACTCTGTCCAGTTGGCAGGTCGACAAGGTGGGGCGGCGATTCACACTGCTGGTCAGTTTGGCCTGCACCAGTGGGTTTTTGGTGATGTACGGGCTGCCGTTGTTCTGCCTCCGGTACGGCATAATAAAAGTGTCGGAACATGGGAATACAGATCAGGAGCGAGTAGCGAGAGCACTCAGCATCTTTGCTGTAGCCGGGATCATGTCGTCGTTCCACTTCGGAGTTGGGCCGGTGACTTGGATCTACGCGGGGGAAGTTTTCGATCGGTACGAGGTACGTGCCCAAGGTTCCAGCCTCGGCGTGGTGATCAACCGAGCTGCTGATACCATCTGGTGGCTGTGCTTCTATCACATTGCTAGATGGCTCGGCATGGGCGGGGCTTCCCTACTAGTTTTCGTCGTGCTGATTGGCGGACTCGTCTTCTGCTTCATCTTCATCACAGACAAACAAGGGCAGATTCTAGAATGAACGACTGGAATACTCGGTCAAATATTCTTGAGAACCAATCATGCATGGGGTTTTAAACAGGATCTGTACTGCTCTGCTATATATATAATCAAATCAAATCAAATCAAATCATGTTGTGGAGGGAAACGATTATCATTAAATAGATTAGTTAAGAGTAATTGGTTCAATAAAACCGGTGAGGTAGAATCAGAAATTAACCATGTTTATTTTGTTGACTTGTATAAATAAGTTAGCTTACCAGACATGTTTAGCTTGGTTTATTTATTTACCGGGATCCGACTAAAGGCTGGTTTTAGGGTTTTCGATTTTGAAAGAAGTAAGGAAAAAAGAAACGAAAGGATACAGAAGGAGGAAGGTGACTTTTTGAAGGGTCCGGATACTATAACAACACCCATAGTGTTGTTATAGTAACAACAGGGGTAAAAACGAGAACTCACTAAAAATAATAAATTAGAAATTAAAATAAAATAAACAAAGACCTCAAACCCTATCAGATCTCTGCTTCTTTATCTCTTCGCTTCCTCTTTCTTCCGGCGCCGAAGCCGATTCAAACCAGTTTGCAGCAGAGCTTCACGACCACCACCGTCGACGGCGGCATGACGAGTTCGTCGAAGGGAACATGCGTTCCAACGGCGTCGCCCAAACTCTGACTCTCCCATGCTGCCCGCCCGCGAGAACTCCAGATCTGGCGCTCTAATCCGCCGTGCGGATCCTCTCCTCATCGACCTGTGAGTCCTTTTCTTTCTCCGACTCCACTCCCAGCAGCGACTCCTCCTTCTCAACCACCGAATCCAGCGAGACAACCCGGGCGCTCAACGCCGGCTCCGTTTCTCCCTTCTTCATCTCCACGGGCACCTGGGCGGTCGGCTGCACAATCGGTGCCCAGTCCGTCGCTCCCTCTCCCGCCTCCGTCGGCGATCCACGCGGCCTCGTCGCCAAGGAAGCTATCGTGGATTGCGGCTCTCCTCTCGCGGTGGCCAATGACGTGGGCTCCATTGGAGCCAACAGGAGGTCGTCGATTGATGGTGATGGCCACGGTGGCGCAATGACAGCTTTAATCTCCGTTGGTTTCGACCCAAATAGCGAAGATGCAACGGTCATTCCCATCCCATGGTTGTTGTTCGTCTCGGACAGTTGCTCGACTACCCTTGAAGCGTCAACGACGGCGGTCGCTGGTGGTGCGGCGAGAAAGAAGCATGTCAACAGTGTGGTTCTCACTGAAGAAATCTCTGCACTGCAAATCAGAGCCAGCAGATGTGCACGACCCAAAATCCAGGAAGCAATTGAGCACAATCTTGACCAGAAAAGCTGGTGGTGGGAGGTCCGGGTGTTCAAGGTCAATAGTCAATCTGAAAGATGTCATCCATGGAAGCAAGAGGCACATGGAGAAGCCACCGAGCTGCAGCCCGAGATCCATAGGCAGCAGTGAGTTCCTCAACCCAATAACCCACGAAGTGATTCTGAGCAACTCGATGTGTGAGCTCAATTTGAGGTATCTAAACAATATAACAAAGACCAAAGTCTGCAAGGATTCAGAAGTTGGTACAATTTGGTGGGTGGTAGGTCTGCGTTATGTTGATGGATTTAGGCGGTGGCGGTGGGTTCCAAGAAGGGTCTGGTGGTGGTAATTTGAGATGCAATTGATAGTGCAGTTTTGGGAAGTGATAGTGCTGTTTTGTGGTCTATTCTATGTAGCTTTTGAGATGCAATTGTATTTTTGGAGCATCAATCTTATTTCTCTCTTTATCAAATTGAAATCATTGAAAGTGGCCATATTTTTATGAGTTCCGATCCTCAAGTTCATTGGAATGCACGCCAAAAATCGTCGAATGCAAACAAAAAATCTCATGAAACGTAATAGAAATGTCATAAAGCATACCATAATTATTTCTAAAGCGTGCCATAAACTTTCTAATACAGGCCACTTATCGCCTAAAACATACCAGAAACCTCACGAAGCAAACCACACTTATTTCTAAAGCACACCAGAAATCTCCTAATACATACCAAAAACCTTCTTATGCAGACCACAAATTCCCTAAAACAAACCAGAAATCTCACAAAGCAAACCACATAATTTTCAAAAGTACATCAGAAACCTCATAATGCAAACCACAAATACGATAAAGCAAACCACAAAAACAAACCAGAAACGTCCTAATGCAAACAAAAAATCTATTAAAAAAAACAAGAAACCTCGCAAAGCAAACTACAAATATATTAAAACAAACCAGAAACCTTGCAAAGCAAACCACAAAAGTTTTGAAAGCACACCAGAAACTTCTTAATGCAAACTAGAAACCTTCTAATTCAGACCACAAATCCTCTAAAACAAACCAGAAACCCCACAATGCAAACCTCAACATTTGCGAAAGCACACCAGAAACCTCATAATGCAAACCACAAACATAGTAAATCAAACCACAAAAACCAAACCATAAACGTCCTAATGCAGACCACAAATATATTAAAACAAACCAGAAACCTCACAATGCAAACCACAAAGTTTTTTAAAGCAAACCAGAAACTTCTCAATGCAAACCAGAAACACGATAAAGCAAACCAGAAACTTCTTAATGCAAACCACAAACACGATAAAGCAAACCACAAAAGGCATACAAAAATATGAGAAACCAAACCATAAATCTCACAATGCAGACCATAACATCCGGTGGTTGTTGGTCGTTGACCGGTCAACGAAGACCGTTGACCAAACGCCGATGACCGTCAGTGAGTAGATTCCGGCGCCGATAGGCATATTCCGGCCCCGATGACTAGATTCCGTCGCCGGTAAGCATATTCCGACGCCGGTAAGCATATTCCGGCGACGGTGGCATATTCCGGTGACAAAATAGCATATTCCGGCGACGAAAAGTATTTTCCGGTGATCGGCGACCATTTTCCGGCGACCGGCGACAGAATTCCGGCGACCAAAATTTTGGGCCGAAAAAATAAAAAAAAAATTTTTTTATTTTTTTATTTTTTTATTATTTAAACATATTTTTCATAATGACAATTATACCCCTGCTTTGATTTTACACTAGGTCAACTTATCTAATAAAAAGTCATCATAACCCTAGCTTCCTATTGGTTGGAGACTAGTGTTGTTACAATAACAACACAAAGGGTGTTGTTATCGTAACTGGTCCCCTTTTTGAAAGGAATTACGATTCCTCCTTCTCTGGAAATCGTATGAAACTACTATAGTTTCGAGGTAAAAACTACGACATCGGTAACACAAAATATGATTCGGCCACCTGGAACCAAAATATGATTCGGCAACCCAATCTAACCCAAACGCTAAACTGTTTATCTTTTTATTAATTAAAAATTAAATTAGTTTGTTTTTTTGGTAGATTAAGAAAACGGCTTTCACCAACAACAAAAAAACATATGTCACGACGAGGAAAGGAAACAAAAGCAGTTCCACAATCTCCTTCTCCGACGGTCTCTCCAAATCACTCTGGTGACTTGTTCAGAGTTGAAGAAATCTGTGTCTTCGCGGGCCTCGTCAAACTTGAAAAGCAATGTCGCCAATTATCATACGGTAAGGGTAGAGACGCTCTCCTTCACCGCCGGTCGCTCCAGAATCATTACGTTCACTTGTCTGTGGTCGATCCCATCTCCAGAGTCAAACTTATCCTTGTCCGTGGTTTCATATCAGAGGCGAAGGAATCTGTGTCTTTGGTGGCCTCTGTCACAATCGAAAAGCCCCGCCTGAGAAAATTCTAAACCTAGCAGAGAAGCGGCTAGGGTTTCAAGGAAGAAGCAGATAAAATGAGACTCAAGCCATTGTGGGAATTGGCATCTTGCTCTTTCCTCTGTGGGATTTTCCATTATATAGCAAAGAAGGTAAAGTAGTTTATCTGTACATCAACGGCTAAGTAACAGTAAATAAGCTTTAAACTAACCTATAACTACTTGACAGGTGGCTATCTTTAAAGGCTAATTACAATCTCCTGTCAATGGTTACAACGACGTCGTCTTCTTGTGGAGTTGGATACCACTTAGACAAACGACGTCGTGGAGGTCTTCTTCGCTGAGTACCGAGTTGAGTGAAGGGAAGCTCAACTCAGTTCTTCGTTTCATCCTTCTGCAGAGTCTTCAGCTCATTCATCGACATTCAAACTCCAACTCTGCAGAAGCTGATCTATCCATCAATCATCGATCTGGTTCACACACCCCCCCCCCCCCCCCCCCGCAAGCTTGCAGGCATACATCATGGACAGCAAGCTTGGACAGAAGATATGTGAATCGATCAACAGACAAACCTTTTGTGAAGATGTCTGCCAGCTGCTCATCAGTAGGAACATGGTGTAAACTGATGAGTCCACCTTTCAGTCTTTCACGAACGACATGGCAGTCAATCTCAATATGTTTCGTTCGTTCGTGAAAGACTGGATTCTCAGCTATATGAATAGCTGATTTGTTGTCACAGAAAACTTGAATTGGTGAAGGATGATTAATCCCATAGAATGTAAGTAGTGATTTGAGCCACTGAACTTCACATGAAAGCTGAGCCAATGCCCTGTACTCTGCCTCTGAAGATGATCTAGAAACTGTTTTCTGCTTTTTGCTTTTCCATGTAATCAGAGAATCTCCTAAGAAAGTGCAGTACCCAGTTACTGACTTCCTTGTATCAGGGCATGTAGCCTAGTCTGAATCACAGTACCCCTTTAGCTTCAATGTAGAATCAGCAGAAAACCATAGTCCTTGACTTGGATTTCCTTTTAAATAACCGAGAATTCTGTGTAATCCTTTCATATGCACAGTGGTTGGCTTGTCCTGAAATTGACACAACTGTTGAACTGGGAAGGTAATGTCTGGTCTAGTGGTAGTCAAGTACTGCAGTTGTCCTAGAAGATGTCTGAAATGAGAACCATCTTCCAATGGTGTTCCATCTGAAGCTGATACCACAGTCTTCATGCTTAAGGGAGTCTTAGCAGGTTTGCTTTCCAGAAAATCAGTGTTTCCCAACAACTCCAAACAAAACTTTCTTT